ACAGAAACAAATGGCCCCGGTATGACAGTTCCCATTCCGTTGCTCCCTGAGTTCTGGGGTCCCACAGTGCGGAGTGACCTGTTTTCCTCACTCCACCTAGATGTGATGTGAGGAGCCTGGTTCAAAGAAATTTGCTGTTGCTGACTTGCCACCTGGTCAGGCCCCGGCCCTGTGGGAAATTGCCCCAACTGAATCCTCATGCTCACTGTTACTCAGCTAACTCAGATATCCAACCCTGCCCCAGGCTGGGTTAGGCTTCTCCCTGTCAATGCCATCCGAAAATCTCCTGGTGATACATTTATTGACTGAATTGATTGATTGAGATGGCTATCTCACTCTGTCACCCAGGATGGAGGTACTGTGGCACGATCTCAGCTCACTGCAACCTCTGCCTTCCTGTGTTCAAGCGATTATGTTTGCATCAGCCCTCCTGAGTATCTGAGCTTATAGACATGGTCACCATGCTCTCCTACGGTTTTGTATTTTTAGTAGAGACAGGGTTTCTCCCATGTTCACCATGTTGGTCAGGTGGGTCCAAACTCTTGACCTTGTGATCCACCTGCCTCAGCCTCCCAAAGTGCTGGGTTACAGGCTCACACACGCCTGACCCGTGTGACACTTTAAGGAAGTAAGGTGTGTAGGTGATGGCTGCCTGATCATCTTCCCACACGGGGCAGGCTAGGGGCTATGTTGTCTGGAAATTCCTCAGCTCTTTATGCTGGTAAGGGAAGAAGGAAGAGGGGGCCCTCGGGGGACATGCGGCGAGGTTTGGTGGGGACATAGCTCACCAGATTGTACTTGGTGTTCCCATGTAACTTGTAACTGCTCTCATGGAAGGTGGCCTAGAACCTCAGGAAGTGGGGGTTGCTCACTATCACCTAGGGGTGGGGGGAAGAGAAGCTGAGGCTGTACAGAGCCAGCAGGCAGAACAGGGAAACCAGAGCCGAGTGTGGTGGCTCATGCCTGTAATTCCAGCAGTTTGGGAGACAGAGGCAAGTGGACCATTTGAGGTCAGGAGTTTGAGACCAGCTGGCCAACATGGTGAAACCCCGTCTCTACTAAAAATACAAAATTAGCCAGGCATGTTTGTGCCGGAGCACTTTAATCCCTGCTACTTTGGATGCTGAGCAAGATATTATGGTTAACCCGATGGCATCAGGTTGCAGTGATTCCAAATATTGCAGTCACTGCACTCCCAGCCTGGTGATAGCACCAACACTCCTCTTAAACATAAACAAAGAAAACTGCCAGGTGCTGTGGCTCCACCTGTATCCTATCACTTTGTGAAGGCGTAGGTGGTTTAGATCAACTGATTTCTGGGAGTTTGGCACCAGCCTGACCAACATGGTGAAACCCATCTCTACTAAAAATACAAAATTAGCCAGGCATGCTAGTGCATTGCCTGTAATCGCAGCTACTCAGGAGGGTGATGCAGGAGAATCGCTTGAACATGGAGGCTGAGGTTGTGGTGAGCTGAGACATGCCATTGCAGTCCAGCCTGGGCAACAAGAGCAAAACTCCGTCTCAAGAAAAAAAGAAAGAAAAAATGAACTTGCTCTGCAAATGTAGCTGCAACATTGTTTTGTCTCAAAATACTTTCTAATTGTCCTTATTTTTCTTTGATCCATAGTTTTGTAGTATATTGTTTAGTTCCCATAGATTTGTGAATATTCCTGTTTTTCTTCTGCTATTGTAATTTCAGTCATTTAAAATGTATTAAATCTTGCTTTGAGGCCTAATATATGATCTTTTCCAGAGAACATTCCACATGTACTTTGAAGAATGTTCATTCTGCTGCTGGGTGTACTCATCTGTGTATGTCTGGTAGGTCCAATTAGTCTATAGTATTGTTCAAGCCCTCTGTTTCCTTCTTGATCTTCTGTCTGGGTGTTGTATCCATTATTGAAAGTGAGTTATTGGGCCAGGCACAGTGGCTCATGCCTTTAATCCCAGCACTTTGGGAGGCCAAGGGAAGTGGATCACTTGAGGTCAGGAGTTTGAGACCAGCCTTGCCAACATGGTGAAACCCTGTCTCTACTAAAAATAGCTGGACGTGGTGGCATACACCTGTAATCCCAGCTACTCTGAGGCTGAGGCACAGCAATCACTTGAATCCAGGAGGTTGCAGTGACCTGTCTCACGCCACTGCACTTCGGCCTGGGCAACGGAGTCAAATTCTGTCTCAAAAAAAAAAGTGACAGGTTGACGTCACCTACTGTTATCATAGAACTGTTTCTCCTTTCACTCTGTTGGTGTTTGCTTCATATATTTAGGAACTCTGAGGTGTGTTGCATGTACATTTATAACTGTTACATCTTTTTGGTGAATTGATTGTTGTTATCTCTTAAAACAGCTTTTGACCTTGAGTCTATTTAGTCTGAGATTAGTCTAGCTCCTCCTCCTTTTTTTTTGGTTATCATTTGCATGGAATATCTTTTTTCATCCTTTCACTTTCAACCAATGTGTAAGTCTCTTACAGCCTTTTGATTGTAGAATTGCAGAATTCATTTGCATTTTTTAAAGACTATCATCTGACGAAGCTCACTACCCTGTTGGGTGACTGTACCATGAGGCCCACAGCCAAGGGCTCAGTGAGCAGTTCCTCTGGGAGGACTCCAGCACACCATTTACGGGGCCTCCCGGTGCCACTCTGTGGATTGTTTTCTGCATGGCTTATTGGTTTGTTTTCTCTCTCATTTTCTTCCTTCTGCCTTCCTTTGTGTTAATTGATTTTTTGGTGGGACACACTTAGAATCCCTTCTTATTTCCTTTTGTGTACATTCTATAGATATTTTCTTTGTAATTACCTTGAGAATTACATAGTACATCCTGAAGTTATAGCAATCGATTTTTAAACTAGTAAGTTCGATCACATATAAATAATCTACTCCTTGACAGCTCTACCCCGTCCTATGTTGTTCTTACAAAGTATATCTGTATTTTGGAGAGAGGGTCTCACTCTGTCACCCAGGCTAGAGTGCAGTGGCACTGTCATAGCTCACTGTAACATCCAGCCCTAGGACTCAAGCAATCCTCCATAGCTGAGACTACAGGTGCATGTCACCATGCCTAATTTGTTTTTTTCATAAATTATATATTTAACACAGACTTAAGGTTACACATCTCTTTTAAATCCAATAAAATAATTAAAATCAGAGATACGAATCAAAATTCCAATAATACAGGTCTTTTTATGTGGCTTCAAATGTCCACCTAGCATCCTTTTATTTTAACTTGAAGGACTCCCTTTAGCATTTCTTGCAGGGTAGGTCCCAGTGTAATGAACTCTCTGAGCTTTTGTTTATCTGAGAATGTCTTAATTTCTCTGGTCGGGTGCGAGGTGGGAGGATCACATGAGGTCAGGGGTTCGAGACCAGCCTGGCTAACATAGTGAAACCCCGTCTCCATTAAAAATACAAAAACGTGGTGGCAGATTCCTGTAATCCCAAATACTTGGGAGGCTGCACCAGTGTACTGCAACCTGGAGGACAGAGCAAGACCCTGTCTCAAAAAGATAATAAAAAGTGTCGTAATTTCTTCCTCTTTTTCTTATGAGAGTTCATGAGATGCCTTTATGTTGTAATTTATAGTTGTAACCGAGCGAGCGCGAAATCACCACTGAGACAAAGAGTAGGCCAAATTACAGGGTCTTCATTGCCGGTGGTGCTGAGGACTCGAGTCTCTCTAACCCACGGCCTCAAAGGGAGGGTGTCAAGACCTTTTATGCCCGTAAACCACCTTCTGCGTGGGGATGAGGGTGAGGGGCTTCAGACATTCCCAGGGCCAGGGAACTTTGGTCATTCTAATTGTTACTTAAGTGGTTCACGGAAGTCAAGATAAGTGTAGTTTACACATTGTCTGGGTAGGGTGGAAATTACAGGCCTTAGTTACTTACTTACAAGTCGCAGGGGCCAAGATGGCGTGGGTTTGGACTGCTTGCCTGTCACATCAGGGTGACAGAGAGCAATTTCAACAGAAAGCCGACGTATGGTTGAGGTATGCAGTTTTATGGGGGCATTTCCCATGTCACATTATAACCACCTTTTAATTTGTCTTTCAAAATTTCACTATAATTGGTGACTGCTTTTCTTAAATACTTCACTGGTGTCCGAGAGGGGAAGAATTTAGCCCTTGTTTAAAAAATAATAATAAAAAACCTGGCCGGACATGGTGGCTCACATCTGTAATCCCAACACTTTGGGAGGCCAGGCAGGCGGATCATGAGGTCAGACATTTGAGACCATCCCGGCCAACATGGTGCAACCCCATCTCCGCTAAAAACACACACACAAAATTAGCTGGGCTTGGTGGCACCTGACTGTAATCACAGCTACTCAGGAGGCTGAGGCAGGAGAATTGCTGGAACCCGGGAGATGGAGGTTACAGTGAGCTAAGATGGTGCCACTGCAGTCCAGCCTGGGTGATATAGCAAGACTCTGTCTCAAATAGATAAATAAGCCCTAAGAGGAAGGGAGAGGACCTTAACTGCAGATAATAGTCCATTGTTACCTTGTGGCTGTAAATCTTCTGAGTTGCTTGTCCTGCCAGATGTTTTGTTGATGGCTGTAGTAGCTTACAGTTTTGTATTTACACGGTCAGAACAATGAGTGCTTCTGCTTGATTCCCAGATTCTCCAAGAGTCCCATGGAGCCACACCACCTGCTGTCTTGGCACTTCATGAGTCCAATGCTGCTTCCCGAGAGGATCTGGTTGGTAGACCATGACCTTGATTACTGCCTCTAAGCCTAGCTTTATTCTCAGCAGCCACCACCTTTTTTGGTACTAGAACAGTGCTTTTTCTAGTACACTCATAAGTGGATGCTGAAATCACAACCTGGCCATTTGGATGTTCAGCTAATGCATTATGCCACAGAGTCCCCGGAACTCACCAACCCATGCTGGAACTCACCGGAGCTCAGGTGTGTAGCACTACCTTGTTTCTCTATGGCTGGGAATGCAAACATTGTTGATGTGTTTATTTCCCATTTTTTACTTTGGAGGTTTTGTTTTGTGAGACAAGGTCTCACTCTGTCATGCAACCAGGAGTGTAATCATGGCTCACTGTAGCCTTGACTTCCCGGGTTCAAGCCATCTCACCTCAGCCTCCAAAAGTGCAAGGAGTCCAAGCGTGAGCCACTGTACCTGGCCTACTTTTGAGCTTTGAGTTCTTTAGAGATGAGTCTCTGGAGATGAGTCCTTGGTCCGATAGGTGGTTTGTAAACATTTTTTCCAATCTGTAGCTTATCTTTCCATCTTTCTAATCAAGTCTTTCAGAGAGCAAAAATATGGTCTCTCTTAGCAGTACTCCGCTGCTGTAGCAGGAGAGCAGACACAGACAGTGTGTAAATGAACATGTGGATGTATCCCTTGAGTAAGTGTCCATTTGTCCACTGATCTCTAGGCAGATCAGTGCTGAGAGGTTGTTTCATTCAGTAGTAGTTGAGCTGCAGATCATCTCTAACCTCATGCTTACTTTCTGTTACTCCACTGTCTTCTGTTGCTGCGGGTGGGAAAGCAGTTCTCATGTTCTTCCTTCTTTCGACCCTTCTGAGTAGCTTTTAGGACCTTTTCTTTGTTTTTTCTGCAATTGTGTTTGGATGGGTCTAGGTATGGATGGATTTGGGGATTGTGCCTCCTGACTCTAAAGGGTCCTGGGTCCTGTCTCTGTTTTCATTCTGGATTTTTTTTTTTTTTTTTTTTTTTGAGACAGAGTTTCGCTCTCGTTACCCAGGCTGGAGTGCAATGGCGTGATCTTGGCTCACCGCAACCTCCGCCTCCTGGGTTCAGGCAATTCTCCTGCCTCAGCCTCCTGAGTAGCTGGGATTACAGGCACGCGCCACCATGCCCGGCTAATTTTTTGTGTTTTTAGTAGAGACGGGGTTTCACCATGTTGACCGGGATGGTCTCGATCTCTTGACCTCGTGATCCACCCACCTCGGCCTCCCAAAGTGCTGGGATTACAGGCTTGAGCCACCGCGCCCGGCCAATTTTTTTTTTTTTTTGAGACAGACTCTCTTACTCTGTCACCAGCCTGGAGTGCAGTGGCAAGATCTCAACTCACTGCAACCTCCACCTCCTGAGTGCAAGTGTTTCTCCTGCTTCAGCCTCCCAAGTAGCTGGGATTACAGGCAAACACCACCACGCCTGGCTAATTTTTATATTTTTAGTAGAGACGGGGTTTCACCATGTTGGCCAGATTGGTCTCAAACTCCTGACCTTAGGTGATCCACTCATCTTGGCCTCCCAAAGTGCTGGGATTACAGGATTGAGCCACCACACCCGGCCTGGAATTTCTTTGAGACATGTTGGATCCTGTCATATCATCTGCCCTTTGTCATATTTCCAGTTGATTAATTTTCTCTTCTGCTGTTGAATTCATTAAGTTTTAAATGTCTGTGAATGGCAGCCACTAATTCTGGCATCTGAAGCTCTTAGAAGTCCACTCCTCTTGTTGCCACTGACTTCTGTGCCCTTTTAGTGGTGCTTTGGCTGTGGCAGTCGTATGCAGCACTGGCTGAAGAATCTCAAGGTAGCTAGTGTTAGAACTGAATTGGAGGTCCACCCTGGTAGTGGGGACACACCCCCACACATTTGCTTACAGAAGTCATCTTCTGTGTTGATAATGATTTTTGCAGTATGAGAGCAGAGGGAAAACGGGCTGAGCATTTTCCCTAAACGAGAGTGGACATTCCAATCCCTAGTGAGGCTGGGCGTGGTGGCTCATGCCTGTCATCCAGCACTTTGGGAGGCAGAGGCAGGTGGATCACCAGAGGTCAAGAATTCATGACCAGCCTGGCCAACATGGAAAAACACCATCTCTACAAAAATAACTACCTGTATTTTGGGGAGGCTGAGGCAGGGCGTATTGCTTGAACCTGGGAGGTGGAAGTTGCAGTGAGGTGAGATTCTGCCACTACACTCCAGCCTGGGTAGATCATAAATAAGAGAGATAATTGACTCACAGTTCTACAGCATCTGCTTGGCTTCTGGCGAGGCCTCGGGAAGCTTACAATCATGGCAGAAATGGGAGTGGGTACAAAGAGAGAGAGGAGGGGCCAGGCTTTTTATAAACAAACTGCTCTCAGGTGAACTAACAGAGCAAGAACTCACGCTTCACCAAATGCAGGATGCTAAGCCATCCATGAGGGATGTACCCCCTCTAACAAACGTGAGATTTGGAGGGGACACACATCCGAGCTGTATCAGGCCGTAAATGTTTTGTTTTGACTCTTAGCTCCTTGAATGACAATTATTTGTTCTCCCTGGCAAGAGAGAGGGATTTTTCCTCCAGCTGGAAGGCAGATGCCAGCCAGGGGGCAGACTGCCAGCCGGCTGGGGTGGCTTACCACACTGTGGAGGAGGGGCCAGGGTCCTGAAGTTGCAGGCACACAGGTGGATATAGGTGGCCGCCAGAGTGGAGGCAGGCTGGAGCTTCCGGGTGCCACAGGGGTCCTGCACACACAGGCTGAGGAATGGTTCAGGGTCCACCTGAAATCAGGGCCACCCAGTCACTGTCTCTAGCCTAGGCCCCTCCTCTCTGCCACTCCCCAGGGTAGACTGGGGAAAGGCCTTTCTGGCCCCAGGGGCCAGGCTCACACTCACCACCCAGAAGCAGTTCCCCAAGCTGGAACGGGGGTCCTGGAAGAAGGCCCAGCAGGTGGGGCTCTGTCCTGGGCAGGTCGGCTGAGTCTTCTCGGTGGCCCTGCAGTGACCATCCACCTGGTGGGACAGATGCAAAACGCAGGCCTCCCGCTGGACCATGTGGCTCCCCCATATACATCGGCCGCAGCAGGAGACTCCCCCAACCCTGGTTCTGCAAAGACCTCTGCAGAGCCAGCAGGCCACCGGCCTCTCCTGGGACTCTGCAGCCAGCAGCCCTCAAGAATCTCAGCCAGAGGGAGGAAGGGCAGGTGCACCTGCTCACCTGCCAGGCCAGGCTGAGCTCCTCCAGGCTGCGGGCCACAGAGCCAGCCGGCAACATCAGCTCATTGCCTGCTTCATTGTCATTGGTGCCCAGAAGGCCAGCGGATGATATGCCTGTAGGGAGGAGGGAAGCTGAGGAGGTCCTGAGAGCCTGTGATCCTCCCCCTGGGGACCTGTATGAGAGACAAGCCTGAGGCATGCTCAGAAGCGGTAGAATCCCGCCACCTCCGGCCCTGGCTCCATACCCTCATCGAAGGAGGGAGAGAAAGCACAAGGACTAAGGACAGCATGTGTCCCCCCATCCCCTCTCCAGATCCTCAGCTCGAGTGGTCAGAATCCAGGCCCACCCTTTATGTTCCTTGGCAGAGGGACCACAGAAGGGCCCACTCCACCCTTATCCCAGGGAGCCACATGTCCCAGGGTTGGGGGCAGAAAGCCCTGGGCCTCAGTGCCATCATCTCATCTCAACCACAGTCACCGCCTACAGCCCGGGGACCTGTCGCACTGGAAGCTGAGAATCGTGCATCCGGAAGAGGCTCTTGGTGGTGGGGCCAACCCTGCCGGGGCCCAGACTCACCGTGGTGCCAGAGGCCCAGAGTCAGGCTGCAGAAGCTAGTGGGCACGCCACAGGAGACGGAGACCCCATCCTCACTGGCCAGCTCAATCCTGGGGACGTCCCTCCTTGTCATGGCAGGAGGCAGCTGGAGGTCTGGACAGCTCTCCCCCGGCAGGTAGAAGTTGTACAGCCTGTAGGCCTGTGGACCAGAGGGAGAGGGCAGGAGACCTGACCCACAGCCAGGGAACGAGCTTAAAAGTGCCATCTCCCCAGGCAACCTGCCACAGGCACAGGTCTCTAGGGAAAGCTCCGGCCTCTCCTCCTCACCTGCAGGCTGGCGTAGAAGATGAGAGTCACATGGTTAAGCTCCATGGTCAGGGCCATGAGCCCCAAGCATGTTCGACTCAGCATCAGGGAGAATGTACTGTGAGCAAAGACGGGCCAGGAGGATGCTGCCACACTGGGTGCTGAGGTCCCACATCCGGCTGTCAAAAGTCATCACGTGATGGACCCCGGCCACCAGGGTATGGTCTGGGGAGAAGCAGCCCCAAAGGCAGGGTGAATGGAGCCAGCTCCACTCACTGCAGTGGGAGCACAATGCCTGCTGAGCACCGCAATGCCTAGAGCCCTGGCTTAGCCTGTTCTGAGGCCAGGAGTCCCCCTCTCCTGGTGCAGCAGCCAGAGGCCCAGTGATCCCCCACCAGCTTCGGGATGACATGAGCTGAGGGGTTACAGCCAATTCAGCCCTAATGAGGAATTGAGTCCTGAGACCCACTACAAAAATGCTGTGCTAAGTAACAAAGCCTGGCTCAGAGGCCACGCATTCTATGCTTCCATTTATATCAGATGTCCAGTGCAGGCACAGCCACGGACACAGCACACAGACTGGCAGCTGCAGGGTTTCATTTGAGGATGATAAAAACGTTTTAAAATCCATTGCGGTGAGGCATGCACAACTCTGAATAAACTAGAAGCCACTGAATTGTGCACTTAAAATTCACGGATTGGCCAGGTGCGGTAGTACTAAGTCATACCAGCGATTTGCAGGGATGAGGCAGGAGGATCACTTGAACCCAGGAAGGAGGTCAAGGGTGCAGTGAGCCGAGACCACACCACTGCATTCCAACCATGACAACAGAGTGAGACCTAGTCTCAAAAACAACAACAAAACAGATCACACAAGTCATCCATTTAATCTTGAGGAAGCTACTGGGGGGAAAAAAAGACATTAAGTGGATGGCCATCGGCTCCCTCAAACATGACAGCAGTGTCCTGCAGACCTGCCCTCTTCAGGGTAGGGAAGAGACGGACTGTGAAGGAGCAGGTCTGACCAGTCCAGCCAGCGAGGCCCCTGAGCTGTGCCTTGGGGGTGCTCGTGCCCGTGGCGGGAAAGCACCATCCATCGTTCACAGCCAGACACCTGTTGGCCAGGGCCAGCATCCCGTGGGAGGCACTACCAGTACCGTGGTCAGCTGTCAGAACTGAGGGGCACAGAGAAGCCCATGGTCACACACAAACTTGAAGAGCAGGCTGTTTTCTACGGCATCAGCGTGCTGCTTAGACATGACTGCATCCACGCTTCTAGGGAGCCCTAGTCCCCCATGTGAGTCACACACAGATAAACTGCTCTTTGCCAGGCCTGGGTACGGTGGCTCCCCCACGGACATGAGGGGCGACCTCGTGCATTAAGAACCGTGCACGCCTCTTACCCATGTGAGTGAGCCATCTGGTTACCGGCATTTCACAGTAGAGGAATCCAAGTCCAGAGAGGTTAGCAGACTCACAGGAGCCACACGCAAGCTCCCCAGGAGCCCAGAGGCGGTCATCCCAGCACCAGATTGCCCCTGACCTGCGAGTCTGAACTCAGTTAGTGCCCTTCCAACTGTAATGGGAGATCTGCCTTCTGCTCCAGCAGAGCCCACAGGGAGGGCGCTGGCCTGAAGCCCTCAACCACCCACTGTACTCCTCTGTTGAGCCAGGCCTTATGTTCTGGACAGAAGCAGGATGTGCAGCCTCAGCCCTAGTCCCATAGGACCTTGGGAAATCCAGTAAGCTCTGGGCCTGGCACTGTGATGCCATGAGCCTCTGCAGCTTCCCTGTGCCCCCACAGTACCTGCCCCTGCATGGCCCTGCTGCTGTTCCCACGGGGTAGGGGGCTCCCAGGGAGGAGGGCAGCACAGCCTGGGGCAGAATTCACACTCCAAGGCACCCTGCAGCAGGCAGCATCTGAGCTGGTAGAACTCGGCCAGCATGTTGGCCCTGGACAGCTGTCGGAGTGGCCACAGCAGCTTCTACTCCACCAGGTAGCTGGTCACCCAGGCCATGTCCAGTGGCTCATCCACCCCAGCAGTGGCAGCGTCACCACCGAGTAGTCCCCAAAGGGAATGCACAGGACAAGTTGCTGTGCCTTCCTTTGGCTGCAGACGGGGAGCTCACAGGTCCGCAGGAAGAGCTCTGCCATGGAGGGCATGGGAGTGCTTCTCAGGGAGGGCCTGTCCTTGTTCTAGGAAGTCCCATAATGAGGTGGAGGACAGAGGCCAGCATGACAGCGGAGGTGATAGTGAGGCCAGGACAGAAACAAGCTGCCCTATTTTGAGGACACAGATGTCTGATGTCATGCTTGATCTGCCCCCTGGGTCTTGGGGACCATGGGGCCTGTGTGTGGGGATGCCGAGGACAGGAGCTGGAAGGTGTAGGAAATAGTTTTGTTTTTTGAGACAGAATCTCATTCTGTTTCCCAGGCTTGAGAATAGTGGAACTTTCTTGACACTGTGACCTCTGCCTCCTGGGTTTAAGTGATTCTCCTGTCTCAGCTTCTGGAGTAGCTGGAACTACAAGCATTCACTGCCATGCCCAGGTAATTTTTGTATTTTTAGTAGAATCGGGGTTTCACCATGTTGGAAAGGCTGGTCTCAAACTCCCGACCTCAAGTGATCTGCCCAAAGTGCTAGGATTATAGGCATGAGCCACTGTGCTCGACCAACAAGTCTAGGAAATTTCTGCAGTTGAGGGGAGGACTGGAACTTTCTCAATATGTAGAGTAGGGTCAAACCTGTGGGATCTAAATGACCAGGGAGATCTCAGCTCTTGTGGGGGTGGAGTGGGAAGAGAAACATTGCACACTCTGTTGTTGATGGGCCGGTGGAGGGGGTGCAGGGGCAGGTGACCTCACTTATCTTCTAGGGAGCCCAGAGGCCCTGTAGCTGGGGGCAGGAAGCAGCCTCAATGCCCTCCCTCCCAGTTGAATCCATTTTTTGGCACCCCCACCAGATCCCACTCACCAGGTAGGTGAATAACTAGGCAGGTGATTCTTCAACCAAGCCAAAGCCCCACCCTGGGAGCTCTTTCCTTCCTCAGCCTATATTCTGACCACAAGGCAGCAGGAGCACGAACTTGTATTACATAGAGCCTTTTCCCCATGATGCAGGTTTAGTTCCTATTCTACACCTGGGGAAACCGAGGCACAAAGAGCCAATGCAGAGGAATCCCAGTTAGAGGCAGAGCCAGAGTCCAGATGCTCGGCAAGGCCACCAGAATGGAAGAAGGGGGCTGCCCCCCGGCCCGGAGCCTGGTTCCTGGTGGGCCTCATGCCTGTGAGGGTAAAGGATACTAGTTCCCCAGGCCCCTGCTCTAGACTGGGTTCCCCACTTTTATCCACCACCCCTGTGTTCTCAACACAGGGACCAAAGGGGCCTTTTGAAGTGAAAGGGTGATTACATCCTTCCTAGGTCAGAGCAGAAGCCAGAGTCCTCTCCCCAAGCCCCCCAGCCTTGGGACCTCCCAGTCCTCCCCAGTTGCATCAGCCCCACCGCCTTGCTATTAAAACAGGCCAGGCATGGTGGCTCATACCCATAATCCCAGAACCGAGTCTCTGGAGCCCAGGATTCTGAGACTAGCCTGGCTAATATAGTGAAACGCTGTCTCTACTAAAAATACAAAAATTAGCCGGGTATGGTGGCGAATGCCTGTAATCCCAGCTACTTGGGAGGCTGAGGCAGGAGAATCAATTGAGTTTGAGAGACAGAGGTTGCAGTGAGCCGAGATCACACCACAGCACTCCAGCCTGGGTGACAGAGAACAAGACTCCATCTCAAAAACAAACAGGCCAGGCACATCCCTCTCCCAGGCCTCTGTGCAGTGGTGCCCCCACCTGGAGCTCTCTTTCCACATTGGCCCCATAGCTCTTGCTCAAACTGTACCTTCTCCTCAAAGCTGGCTATGGCCACACCATAGGATCCTCCATCCATCATCTCACCAATGTTCCTTCTCTAGCATTTGCCACCTAATGTATCGCTCAGTGGTAGTAAATGATGAGCAGTGGGCCACACCCAGCCTGTGGCTGGCTTCTGCAGGGCCTGCAAGAAAGAAGGGCTTTTGTGTGTTTAAAAGATTACAAAACAGGCTGGGTGTGGCAGCTCATATGTGTAATCCCAACACTTTGGAAGGCCAAGGGTGTTGCATCTCTGAAGGTCAGGAGTTTGAGACCAGCCTGCAGTGGCAAAACCCTGTCTCTATTAAAAATGCAAAAAATTAGCCAGGTGCAGTAACGCACACACCTGTAGTCCCAGCAACTCGGAAGGCTGAGGCAGAGGTTGCAATGAGCTGAGATCACACCACTGCACTCCAGCCTGGGCAACAGAGCAAGACTCCATCTCAAAAAAATGATTACAAAACAAAAGCAAGGAAATGTGACAGAGCAGAACGGCCTGCTTAAGAGGTGACTCTCAGGCTCTCTGCAGGGAGCTGTGCACACCCTGCTGTAGATGATTTCCTGTGCTTTGTGTCTGTCTGCGAGTAAAACTGAGCTTCCTAAAGGCAGGGGTCAGCCTCGCCCACCACGCTCCTCCGCAGCAGCTCCTAAAATCCTGCCTGCACTAGGACCATGTTCATGAGGTGTCCATGGAGTGAGGAAGAAAACCCAACTTCCTTTTCTGTGAAATGGGGAGTGAAGAAGCCTCCATGCAGGGCGGTCAGAGGAGTCAGTGAGTCAGAGCATGCTGAAGCATTCAGCATTGCGCCTGATATGTGACAGGAACGCTAGATGCACCACTCCCAACCCTGTGTTACCTGGCTGCAAGGCTGTACAGGTCCAGCAGGGGTTTGCATAGCCTCTTCAGTGCCCATGAGAATGTGGTCTCAGCCCAGGACAGCATCTGGTGGGCCACCTGGAGAGGGAGGGGACAATGAGAGCTGTCTCGGTCGACCTCAACTGCCAGCCACGCCCCATCCTTGCTCTCACTCACTGGCTCCAGGGTGACTTTCACAGCCCCCAGGGCCATCCTGATGGTCCTGGGACCACAGTTGCCTGGCATACTGGGCACCCAGGCCTGCAGCCACCACATGGCCTCCTCTGCCTGCTCCTGCCACACCTCCCCCAGGGGCCACAGCATCACCTCCAGGTAAGTGTCCTTCAGTGTGGCCAGGGGACTTGCAACGGGCAGCCACCACCTATCACAAAGCCTCTGGGCAGCTTGGAGGCCCAGCCCAGGCCTTTAGGAGATAGGGCCTGTTTCTGGAATTAAGATGGGGATGGGGGGTGGGGGAAAAGGAATAGAGCAGCGGGCACTGGAGATTGCAGGTGAGTTGTCACAGCAGACCTGAGCCACCTCTGCAAGGCCTGCTCATAGCTTGTCTGGGAACTTGGATTGGGGGACGGTTCCCACCAATCCTAGAAGTGATACAAGGCTCTCTGTAGCTGAACTGTTTGTACAAACGGTTTATGTTGAACCCCTGCTTGCCTCCTAGGAGTCTGACAGTGTGGTTGGTGCAAAGCAGCACCTGCCAATGTGGCGGCCCCCACTAAACATCCTGGGTGACATAGTGCTGGGACGGCCAAGTGCATCCCGTGTGAAGGCACTGGGAGTGGGAGAGGACACTGGGTGCTGGCCCTGGTTCCCCCTGGACTCCACCCCGGCCCCCTTCCCTGCACCAATACTCTTGTCTCCTCTCACTGTAATCAATCAAAAGCGCGAACAGCACTGTGTGCTGAGTCCTGGAGCACTCTTTTAAATTCACTGCCCTGTGGGTGGCCATGGGACTCTGACACAGCAAAGAGCATGTGGAGGTGATATTCAACAGCCAATCAGAGGGACGCCCACCCTGGCGCTAGGCCTAAGCATGACGATTTGGTTTTCATGCTATTGTATATGTGCCTGCCTCAAAACTTGTTACCATATTATCACATCACCCATCTGATGCAAAAAAGAAAAAATAAAACCCAGAAACTCAAACTAAAAATATTTGCAAATCTATAGCATTATGCGTTGTTCTGTGTCTCCCTGAAAGACGCTGAAGCCGTACGCTGCAGGGTCTGTGGATGGGACCTTATTTGGAAATAGGCTCTTCACATGTGATCAAGCTAAGCTGAGGTAATGAGGGTGAATCCTAATCCCGTGTGCCTGGTGTCCTTATAAAAAGGGGATGTGTGGACAGAGATACCTACAAAGGGAAGACAATGTCAAAACAGAGACAGAAGACCACTCTGCAGGCCAAGAAACTCTGGAGGCTATGAGAATCCAGGAGCAAACCCTGGTACAGATCCTCCCTCACAGCCTTCACAGGAAAAACAAAAACCCCTTGATTTCAGACTCCTGGGCTCCAGAACTGTGAGAATAAATCTCTGTGGTTGAAGCCACAAAGTTTAGGGTACTTTGTTAAAGCAGCATTGAGAAATGAATGCAGATTTCTTGGGGCATGCAACACTTCTGCAGGAAATTTGGGACATGGCATGCTTGAACTTAAAATTCATACCTTTCTCTACTCTGAATTCTTTTTTTGGGAGACAGGGTCTCTGTCACTCAGGCTGGAGTACAGTGGCACAAGCATGGCTCACTGCAGCATCTACCTCCTGGACTCTGCAATCCTCTTGCCTCAGCCTACTGAGTAGCTGAGACCTCAGGCACATGCCACTGTGCCTGGCTAATTTTTAAAAATTTTTTTGTAGAGATGGGGTCTTGCTATGCTGCCCAAGTTTACCTGGAACTGCTAGCCTCAAGTGATCTTCCCACCTTGGCCTCCCAAAGTTCTGGGATTGCAGGTATAAGACAATGTAACTGGCTTGCTTTTTTTTTTTTTTTGAGACAGTATCTTGCTCTATTGCCCAGGCTGGAGTGCAGGGACATGACTGCCACCTCCACCTCTTGGGTTCAAGCAATTGTTTTGCCTCAGCCTCCCAAGTAGCTCAGATTATAGGCACCACACCCAGCTAATTTTTGTATTTTTATTAGACATGGGGTTTTACCACTGGACCAGGCTGGTCTCAAACTGCCGACTTCAGGAGATCCGCCCACTTCAGCCTCCCAAAATGCTACGATCGTGGCTCACTGCAACCTCTGGCTCCTGGGTTCAAGCAATTCTCCTGCCTCAGCCTCCCAAGTAGCTGGGATTACATGTCCTGCAACCATGTCTGGCCAGTTTTTGTACCTTTAGTAGAGATGGTGTTTCACCATGTTGGCCAGGCTGGTCTTGAACTCCTGACCACAGGTGATCCACCTACCTCAGCCTCTCAAAGTGCTAGGATAACAGGCATGAGCCACTGTGCCTGGCCTACTTCTATTATTATTACATTGTAATATATAATGAAATACTTACACAACTCACCGTAACGTAGAATCAGTGGGAGCCCCGAACTTGTTTTCTGAAACTAGATGGTCCCTTCTGGGGGTGATGGGAGACAGTGACAGATCAACAGGCATTGGATTCTCATAAGGAGCACGCAGTCCAGCTCCTTCTAATGTGCTGTTTACAGTAGGGTTCGTGCTCTTATGAGACTCTAACAACGCCACCGATCTGACTGGAGGTGGAGCTCAGGTGGTGATGCCAGCAATAAGGAGTGGCTGTGAACACAGATGAAACCTCCCTCACGCACCCGCTGCTCACCTGCTGTGCTGCCTGCCCAGTTCCTAACAGGTGAGCCGGGCACAATGGCTCATGCCTGTAATCCCAGAACTTTGGGAGACTGAGGCAGGTGGATCACCTGAGGTTGGAAGTTCGAGACCAACCTGACCAACATAGAGACACCCTGTCTCTAATAGAAATACAAAAATTAGCCTGGCGTGGTGGCCCATACCTGTAATCCCAACTACTTGGGAGTCTGAGGCAGGAAAGTCACTTGAATCTGGGAGACGGAGGTTGCAGTGAGCCAAGATCACACCACTGCATTCCAGCCTGGGCAACAAGAGCGAGACTCCATGTCAAAAAGAAAAAGGAAAAAAAAAAAGACCAGGCGCAATGGCTCACACTTGTAATCTCAGCACTTTGGGAGAGTGAGGAGGGCAAATCACCTGAAGTAAGGAGTCTGGGACCAGCCTGGCCAACATGTGAAACCCTCTCTCTACTAAAAACACAAAAATTAGCCAGGTGTGATAGTACATGCCTGTAATCCCAGCTACTCAGCAGGCTGAGGCAGGAGAATTGCTTGAGCCTCAGAGGTGGTTACATTGACCTGAGATCACACCACTGCACAGAGTGAGACTCCGTCTCAAAAAGAAAAAAAAACAAAAACAAAAAAAACAGACTACAGACTGCTACTGATCTGTGGAGAGGAGGGTTGGGGACACCAGCCACGATATTACCCCAGTAGACAATATGTAATGATCAAATCAGGGTAACTGAGACAGTCATCACCTCAAATATTTATCTTTTGTTTTGGGAACATGAAAATCCTTCTCTTCTAGCTATCTTGAAATAGTCAAATAAATTCTTGTTCACTTTAATTTCCCTTGTGCACTATTGATTACTGTAAATTATTCCTTCTATCTAGGCCTTCTTGTCTTTCATTCATTCTTTTTTTAAATTATTTCATTTCATTTCTGAGACAGTCTCTTTCTGCCAGGCTAGAGTGCAGTGGCACGATCTTGACTCACTGCAACCTCCACCTCCTGGCTGCAGGCAATTCTCCTGCCTCAGCCTCCCGAGTAGCTGGGATTCCAGGCGCGTGCCACCATTCCTAGCTAACTTTTGTATTTTTAGTAGGGATGGGGCTTCACCATGTTGTCCAGGCAGGTCTCGAACTCCTGACCTCAAGCAATCCACCCACCGCGGCCTCCCAATGAGCCACAGCACCTGGCCATTCATTCTTTCTTATATTCATTTATTTTATAAATAACTACTGCATGGTTGTCATATACCCGGCAGGGTTCGAGGCTCTGGGGAAACAGCAATGAGCAAAACAAAGTTCCCGATCTCTTACTGCAGGTGTCCCCAAACTATGGCCCGAACCGCGGGCAGCATGTGGCCCCCTGAGGCCATTTATCCGGCCCCCCGCCGCATTTCAGGAAGGGGCACCTCTTTCATTGGTGGTTAGTGAGAGGAGCACAGTATGTGGCAGCCCTCCAACGGTCTGAGGGACAGTGAACTGGGCCCCTGTGTAAAAAGTTTGGGGACGCCTGTCTTAATGGATCCATCATTCTAATGAGGGGGAAAGAGACAGGCGATCCATAAACAAACCATTAGCTCCGACAGCACATCAAGTGGAGAGTGCTATGAAAAATAAACACTAAAGCAGGTGCAGCCAGGTGCGGTGGCTCACACCTGTAATCCCAGCACTGTGGGAGGCTGAGGTGGATGGATCCCTTGAGGTTAGGAGTTCAAGACCAGCCTGGCCAACATGGTGAAATGCCATCTCTACTAAAAGTACAAAAAAAAAAAAAAAAAATGACCCAGGAGTGGTGGTGCCTGCCTGTAATCCTAGCTACTCAGGAGGCTAAGGTGGGAGGATTGTTTGAACTTGGGAGGTGGAGGTTGCAGTGAGCTGACATTGCGTCACTGCACTCCAGCCTGGGGAACAGAGCAAGACTCTCTTCCAAAATAAAAAAGTAAAGAGAAATCAGGTGCAGGTGTAGAGTGCACTAGCACGAGCAGGGGTACTGTGATGGTGGAGAAGGTGGTCAGGAAAGGCCTCTCTGTGAAGGTGATAGACATGAGGGCTGAGCCTGGGGACTCCTGGGGAGAGCAGCACGGGAGGGCTCTATGTGTTGGTCCCATTTATGGTCCTTTGTTTAGTTTTGTTTTGTTTTGAGACAAAGTCTTGCTGTGTCACCCAGGCTGGAGTGAAGTGGCACAATCTCGGCTCACTGCAATCTCCACCACCCGGGTTCAAGCCACCTCAGCCTCCCAAAGAGCTGGGATGGCAGGCATGAGTCACTGCATCTGGCCTATGCATCGACATGTTCAAATTCTTCTGAAAGCTGTGCTTCAGGAAGAGTGTTCTGACAGCCATCGGAAATAAATGACAGAATGGCAGCACAAGGATCATGTCAGTGACAGGGTGGCTGTGGACAACTGCTGGCCAGCAGCAGGGAAGCCACTAAGACCCCAGATTCTACCTCTGCAGCCCACCTGCACCTGAACCCTCCTCCCCGCATCAGAAGCCTGGAACTCTCAGAACAATAGACCTCATCAGCCACGGCCACCTTCACCAGAATGATGTGCTTAATTCATTCATGCAGAAGACAGCAAGAACCCTGAGAGAACAGGATCCAGAATGTGTGGGGAGTAATGAATAATCTATCCCTCATTCAGCATGTCATGAAGAAATAACCCTAAAGATGGGCACCAGCGCCCTCTGGGCTACTCTATGGAATAGCCATTCTATCTTTACTTTCCTAAAAACTTGTTTTTTTTTTTTTTTTTTTTTTTGAGGCGGAGTTTCGCTCTTGTTACCCAGGCTGGAGTGCAATGGCGCGATCTCGGCTCATCGCAACCTCCGCCTCCTGGGTTCAGGCAATTCTCCTGCCTCAGCCTCCTGAGTAGCTGGGATTACAGGCACGTGCCACCATGCCCAGCTAATTTTTTATATATTTTTAGTAGAGATGGGGTTTCACCATGTTGACCAGGACGGTCTCGATCTCTTGACCTCATGATCCACCCGCCTCGGCCTCCCAAAGTGCTGGGATTACAGGCTTGAGCCACCGCGCCCGGCCAAAACTTGCTTTTTTAGGAAAGAATAAACTTGCTCTGTGGCTCACACCTGTAATCCCAGCACTTTGGGAGGCTGAGGCAGGTGGATCATCTGAGGTCAAGAGTTCGAGATCAGCCTGGCCAATATGGTAAAACCCCGTCTCTACTAAAAATATAAAAATTAGCCAAGTGTGGTGGCAAGCACCTGTGATCCCAGCTACTCAGGAGGCTGAAGCAGGAAAATCACCCGAACCTGGGAGGTGTAGGTTGTAGTGAGCCAAGATCACACCACTGCCCT